TCTTTTAAAAAATACATCTAACAAATATTTAGTTTTATAGAATTATTAAAAAAGGCAGAGGTTTTTTTTTACTTTTCAAAACTAAATTTCGAAAAATAAGTTTTTTTAAACTCATATTTATTAAACTTTATTTAAAACCTAACAGCTAAAATATACAGCTAAAATATGGAAAGGGTAAAGGAAGGTGAATACAAAAATACAATGATACAACGACACATCCATCAAAGAAATTGGAGTATGAAAGAAAAAAAAATGTGGCTTTTTATTTGTAAGACAAATATCAATCAGACATTTTATTATTGCGAAGTCACGTGAATGTTACGTGTATGCATTTAGATAATATACTTTAATATAGGTTGGATCAGAAAATCATTGCACGATATGAATAGAGAGGGTGTGCATTTAGCATTATATCCCGAACTAGGGACTGGGCTAAAGGGTGCAATTATAGAGAGTGTGTATTTATAGAGAGTGCATTTATAGAGAGTTGACTGTATTAATTTTTTAATAAAATTTTATTAAATATTAATTTTAGTAACATAATAATTATAAAAAATATAATTAATATATATTTTAACTTTATTAAAAGAAATTTTAAGTTTATAAAAAATTTTTAAATAATTTAATTTTTAAAATTAAATTTATTATAATAATTTTTTAAAAATTTCTTTAAAATTTATATGTTTGCAAATTAATTGAACTACTTTATACTAATAAAAATTATAAAATTCTTAATAAATTATAAAAATTATAATAATTAAATTTATTTTTTATAATAAATTTTATAATATTTTATTATGATTAATATTTCTAAAAATAAATGTTAATAAGATTGTTAAAGATCAATGATAAAACTTTTAATATAAAATTTTTTTAAAAATTACAAATTTTTAGCTTATAAGATTATTTATTATTTAATTAAAAAATAAAAATTACTATGATATAATACATATTTATAAAAAACTTTTTTTAAAAAAATTTTAATTTTTCATAAAAGTAAATCAAAAGGAAAATTATAGTAAATAAGTAGATAAATTTACTTATAAATTTTTACAATCTAAGGGATATAAATATTTTTTATATTTAAAATTTTTAGTATAATATTGTAAAATAACTATTTTTAAAATAAAGTTTTTTTTTTATTAAATTTATAGTTTAGAAATTATAAAATTAATAATTAATTTATTATCAAGTTAAAATTATTGATAATTTTCATTTTAATTATATTTAAAAAATTATTCAGTTTTGAAAATTTAACAAATATTTCAAATCAATCAAAGATTTTCATTTTTTACAATATTATTTTATATTTAATAATAAAAGAATATTAAATATAATTATTATATCAAATATTTCTAAATTTTTTTAATCTACAAAATTAAGACTATTTATAATATTAACTGAATTTTGTAAATTATTTGTAATTTCAATATTTGTAAAAATTTTATATTATACTACATAATTCATGTGATTTCATTTTCATTAGTCAATTGCTTTGCTATTAACATTTAAAAAACTATATCATTTTTCTTTAACTGATTTTAACTGTAATTTTTCTTTATAATTTTGATATATATCTTAATAATATTTTTATTTTAATATAAAATTAAAAATCTTGCAAATTTAAAAATAGGATTTTATAATAATAAATTATTATAAATAAAGTAATATAATAAAATAAAAAAAAATTTTTTAAATTAAAAAAATAATTCTAATATAGGTAAGTAATACATTATATAAATTATAATATATATAATATTTCTTCATCTAAAAATTGAAAAGTTTAAAAGTTTCTCTTAATCTAAAATCTGAAAGGAGTCTGTTAATAAATATATTCTTTTTATAAGACTAATTTGAATTTTTTAATTAACTTATCATTAGAATACTTATTTTGTCTGAAATTGTTATATTACATCTGCTTATATGTTACTTTATACAGATAAACTTAAAACAGATTCCGATTATTACAAGATGCTAAATACTAGGGATTTTAAATTTTATGCTTATTAATACAGAAATACAAAGTTCGGGTGTAGGCTGTGATCGCTATTCTCGAAAATAAACTACATAATTACCAGTTATGTTCTCTCCTTTACTTTTAAACCTAATTGTTAAATTTTAGCCAATGATATATTAATGGTCACATGATATTTAATTATTTATTTAGGAAGCAAATCCATATTTGAATTTTTTTCGCAAAAATGTCGTCGCTTGGTAATAAACCACCACCTAAAAGTATTCTCAAGAAGCCATCTATAAATTTTCAATCAAAAGTACCAAAGTAATCCTTTTTAAAATAACAAAGCTTAAGGTTTCAAAAGACATCATAAATGGTTGATAACAACCTTTTTTACGGTTCTTTTTTTATTATAGATTAAAATGGGACGAAGACAATATTCAATTAACCGAAGCACAGAAGAATTCAACAATGAAAATCACAGAACCTAAAACACCGTATATTCACTATAACCAAGAAACAGACGAGATTATGACCGATCTTGAAAGTAAGTTTGGTCGTATGCTTTTTAAAGTATATATTTATAAGAAAATTACTTATATATTTGATAATTTATAGCTATCCCTGGATTAGCACTGGGATCTAGTAGTATTGGCTCTAGTAGTAACCAAGGCTCTAGCGGCGTTTCTCCTGTAGGATCACTTTCATCGGTTTCTCCATCATCAGCTCATTTTCCTGATTCAATTAAAGACGATTGGGATTCTGAAAATTCCGAAGAGGGTGAAGAGAGTAAGTCTATTTGCTTACTTTAAAAACAAATTATTTATTTTTTTGCTAATTTTACATTTCGTTTAATAGCTAAGGCAAAACGTAAGAAATTTGCTCAGCTCAGAGCAAAGCATTACAATATGAAGGAAGCACTTCGATTAGGTCATAAGTTGGTAGAAGAGGATGTAGATGATGATGAAAATAGTAACGTGGTTGCTTTGAAAGCGAAATTTGCAAAAGTATTACCAGACGAAGAAAAATATAGTGAAGAAGAAAAAAATGATAATAATGACTCATCATCGTCAACCAACGGTGGTGTGGCTCCCATGGAAACATAGTAAATTTTTTATTAATTTTATTTTATTTATTCTCATATTTTGAAAATACATTCCGATCTTTTTTTTATTTTATATATTTATAAATTTCATAGAAGTTTTAGATTCTTCTCGAACGTATTTATAATCTTATAATTCGTTAATATATAATTTTCTGGGCATGATAATTTTGTAAAATAATCTATCATAACGTATATAGTTTTTCATTATAATATCAGCTATGTAATTTTCAATTTTAAAATTTATCGACTCAATTCGTTGATAAATGTTTTTCGCGTAATTTATTTAGATCTTACCAAAGGAGACAATAATTATAATATAATTTTCCGAATAAATTCTCTGTACATATTTTTGAGCAATTTCTTTGTAAGTTATCTAATCACTTTTAAATAGATCTTTTTTTTTTCTGTTAAACAAAGAAATATAGAGTTCATATCAATCATAAGAATACGTAATGATATGATAAATGATTCATATGTAATTCATATGTATATAATAAATAAAATAATTTTTTCAATTTTATAAAACTAATAAAGAAAAAAGAATGTTTTTTAAATAAAATTATTTGTATAATGAATTTAAAATACAAAAAATTTTTTGTAAATACTGTATAATATTTATAAATTTTTATTTCTGAAAGTGAAATAGAACTTTTTTAGATTAAAATGCATAACCTCTTAAATTTCACGGAACCTAGAAATCCTCCCATATATAATATATAATTAATAATCAATGTAGCTTTCTTCTTTATAATACATATATCTATTTGATATTATCAATTAACGTTAACTAATATTAATGTAAAATCATCATATTTCTTTTTAATTCTCTGAAATGATTAATGTTAATTTTTTTCTGGTCAATTTTAAATAATCTATGAAGAATATTTTCAAGCTTTCCAACCTTCAAATATAAGTCTGAGAGTTTTGGATTGAATGAATATTCATTAATCTCGTATCAATAAATGTATGGTGACATTTGGATCTTGAATTGGCCACTTGCATTATACAATTTCTATGAACTGAATTTATCGAATCAGAATATAATGCTCATAAATTACCTTATTTAGTTAAAACATCTTATCGATCAATTTCGCTGATCCTATAATTTAACTACAGGTAAACTTTATTTATTTAAATCTTTTTAGATGCATCGACTTACATTCTTTTCTCAAAAGAGTTCGTCATTATTTCGACCTTTGAGTTACTTAAAAAATGAGAAAATAATTTGTATTGGTGGCAATCGCCGTAATTCTCTTTCATTAATTCTGGAATCATCGCCACAACAATTATTTTATCGTCAAATATCATCAAAAAAAAGTGAAGCTAGCAAAAATGTCGGTGATAATAATGGTAATACGTTTTTTTGGATTGTGTGTGTGTTTTTTTTTTTATTACTAGTACATTGATTGATGATGTCGTTCCAATTAAACGATACAATTCACCACTCAAGTACGTTATATAAATTCTAATAGATTGACTTTTTGATAAATTCATGTTCAGGTGAACAAGATCCTCATTCGAAAATCATGGAAATTCTTCGAGAATCAACTGCAATGAGTCAGTTATAAACCATATCTTCTTATGTAATGCCATTGAGTAAGAATTATTAAACATTTTTTCTTTTAAAAAAGGTAATCAAACTCATGCTATCGAATCACAAGTTAAATATGGAAAGATTTTTCGATACGGGGAAGTACGTAATCCTAATCCTTACTAAAAGTCAACTATCTATTCTTATTAACTGGTTTTGATTTATGGATAGTTATATGCTCCATACGAATTAAATGAAGACAAATACAAAGGTAAAAGAAATACGGGTAGATCTACGAGAAAACCACCAACTGTCGATATATTTAATGCTTTAAAACTTAATCCATTAGTCGAATACAAGGCAAGTAACTATTTCTTGTATTTATATTTAATTTTAACCATTTGAATGTTTATTGGAGTATTTATGGTAATTATGTAAAAAATAAATAGAATTACAAGTTACTTTCCAATTTTGTTTCTGATATGGGTAGAATTCTTCCAAGGTCGATCACAGGTAAGCTTAATCGATAGGATAAACTTACAATACTTTGAACCTGTTGAATTTTTATGCCTTAATAATTATCTAGGTTTGACGGCAAAAAATCAAAGAAAATTGGCAAAAGCTATTAAACGTGCAAGATCATTTGGTAGATTCCTTATTTCAAATTCTCTCCTCTCATTCGTCTTTTCATATTCATTAATTTCTAAATTCTTTTTATGTTTTTAGGATTAATCCCTTCTACACATAGACGCAAAGCTGATTTTTATGATGTAGAACTTATGATGTCACAAATGAAAAATAAAAAAGCTTCGGACTTTATGGATTTTGAGTGATTAGAATCTTTATAAATTATAGTTTTCAGTGTTTATAGTTCAACACTTAGATTACAATAATATTAATAATATTAATAAAAAATTTTTTTTTTTAATTTGAATACTTTTTTTTCCTTTTTTCATAATGTATTAAATGTAAAACAAAAATTCCCAATTCCCGATTCTATAATCCAACCCACAAAATATTCTAAAATCTACAAATAATTTATGCAACGTAAATACCCACGAAAACTGATTTTTTTTTTTTTTTTGGTTGATTTTTATAGATACAATAATAATATAAATAAATAAATAAATAAATAAAATCACACTGAAATTAATAAAAAAATAAAATAAAATTACAAAGAAAAGTCACTCTCGCTCAGAAAAAAACTATCATACATTTTTAAAAAGGAATCTAGAGGGAAATAAAAAGATAAATTGACCATTGTTCATTGTCACCAAAAAAAAAAATAGAGAGAAAGAGAATCTACGAGATATAGAAAGATTAATAAAGAATATCACAAAAAATCTATAAATTGGAACATAAGAATAGCCAAAGTCATCATTATACTGTTTAACAGTAGTAGTAACTTTTACACAAAAATCTGTTTGGACAAAAATTAAGAGTGCATAAATTGTTTAGGAAAAGAAGTGAGTATTATGCTTACTATCTTCATGAACCTGCATTTCAGACATTTTGTACTCATTTAATTCTTGTTTAATTCTTTGTGCAAGAATTGAAGTTAATTTGTTACAAGTAGACTGGTCACCACGTCGATCATAATCTTCGCGTGTCCAAGTTTCATGAACAAGAATAGACGAGGAAAATTGAAGTTTCTTCGCGGTAGGTGTGGAAGGTGCGGGTGATACATCAATATCCCTAACCACGACTAAAGAAGGATCAGAACGAGAAGCATTTGAATTGAGAGGAACAGGAACGCTTAATCGTCTTGGAGTTGGAGAAATAAGTGAAGGTACTTGATTCTTTGCAGTCGCTGGTAACGATGATGGTCGTTTAATGCCACGTGAAGGTGGTGGTTGTAATGATGATGATACCGGGGAATTGTTTTTTTGTTCTTCACCATGATTTTCTGATTTCTTTACACGAAATGGATTTTGAAGAGGTGAGGTAGAATTTTGATGATGGACCTTATTTGAAGCTTGTTGATCATTCAAGGACTGTAATGATGAAACTCGTGAAGGAATAGGTGCTTTATAATAATTACCAACATTTTGAGTTAGTAAAATTTTATCTCTAAATCAATTAATAAATCGAAACTATATCCTTCTCACTTACCAGAATCGTCGCTCACTTGTTTGTTTCCGTTTCCGTTTTCGTTCCCAATCGGTTGCACTTCATTCAAAAAATCATCCCTTTCATTAACCTGAATTTGATGATATGAAAATGATTGTTCAAGTTTTGATTTATGACGCTGTTGTTGGTTATTTTGACGATCTTTCTTGTTACGTTTATTTTCGTTTTTGGAAAATAATGATTGAAAATCAAATGTTCGACGACGAGATTTGTTGTTGCTGTTAAAATCTTTTGTAGTGGCAAGAATATTACCGTTAGATGAAGTTGATGATTCTGATGTATCATCATCTTTATCATTGTTATTAGATGAAGAATTATCGTCACCATTTAGATTGCAAAGGTGATATTTTTTTCCTCGAAGCGAAGAAAATCTATGATTAAAGACGGGTGAAGAAGGTCTAGAATTAGCAGTTGATGAAGGGACAGATGTCTTACTATTAGAATTATGGTCATCTTGTCTAATATTGCTTAAACTAAAAACCTTTCTTAATTTTTTTGTAAATGATGGTTCTTTATGTATGGATTTTCTGAGTTCAGTACTTGAACCACTAGCATTATTATTTAATATAATTGTGTGTCGAAAAAATCCTCGATTATTTGGTTTTGATTGTGAATTTTGCAAATTGGAACTATTGTTTGATTGGGGATTTTCAATAAGGTTTTCACTGTTCTGAATGGAATCAGCTGAAAAGGTACGCCCATGACTCTTATTTGAAGATGATTTATCTAATTCATTTCCTTTTTGGCTTGGATTATCGTCATCATCATCATTCTTATTATTATTATTATTATCAGATACTTCATCTTTTTCAATTGTTTCAATTTTTTGTATTTTATTAATATCCAATATTTCTTGCTTTTCTTCTATATGTTGCATTGTTGAAGACTTTGGTGAATTTTTTGGCGATGAATTTTCTTTTGGAGAGGACTTCGGCGATCTAATTATATCCGTCTTTGAAGGTACATTAATGATTAATGGGGTAATAGGTTTCTTGTTTAATGACTTTGTAGTTGAATTATTAATAATATTATTATGTACGACTGAATTTTCACCAAAACTAGCTGCTCTTCTTCGCATTTTAGGTGACTTATTGCTACTATTGCTACTATTGCTACGGGTTATTTGATGTTGTAAATGTGAAGGAAAGTCACCACAATACATACTATGTCGATTAGTGGAGGATGAGTTTCGCGGTACGAAACGTGGAAAAGAATTGGGATTTTTAAAGTCGTGGTAAAGGTTATTAAAAGAATGAATACTTTTATTCGCTCCCTTTCCAGTTTGGTGTTGCGGTAAAACGGCAACAGTTTCAAAGATAGGAAGTCGTGGTAAAGCTTGTTGAGCATGTGGAGGAAGGAAACTTGATAAAGAAATTTTTTCATCGTCATATTCTGTTAATGATACTAAGTTCGATGCTTCACTGGTTTGTGGATAATTGACTATGGAGACGGCCATATTTATTATTATAATTATTGTTATTATTATTATTATTTATTATTATTATTATTATTGAATGGAATCAATGGGAAACAAAAAAAAAAAAATTTAAAAAAAAAAAAAAAAAAAACTAAGGCTTTTTTCTTGGAAGAAGCATGTATCCTAAAAATTCTAAAAGAAGTTGACATACCCATACATAGATTTATATAGATTTTCATATTATGTGTTCATTCCATATAAAAAGTGTACAAATTACTTGTACATAAACAATTATTTATTGGGAAATTTAAAAACTAATAAGATTTTTTTTTGACTTATATTTGTTAAGATTGATAAAACAAAAAGACAATATTACGACGCAGGACATCTATTCGATATTATGATTTCAACTTTCGAAATAGAAAATTTAAAACTCTAATTTGGTTCACCAAATAAGGAAAATTTAAATATCATGAAACGAGAGTTTCGAAACAAATAAAAAAATTGGTTACAATCTCGCCTAAAATGGATGGAGTAATAGATATGATGAAATGTGTCCGATTTAAAAATATCCTAATAGACGCCACAATAATACTGTCGTTCATCGTTACATTGTACGATAAAACAAAAAAATGGATTTTGTTAATTGAATTCTTTCTTATAACCCGAAAATCATGTAAAACCTTATTATAATTACTACCAATTATTTTTAAGTGTTAATTTAACATCATTACTAATATAATAAATATTTATAAATAAAGTAAATCCATTTAATATACGATAAATAATGAATGACCAACTATTAATATTACTTTTTTTTTATATATAAAGAAATTACTTATAGTATTAAATTTTCACAATTATTAAATCAAATTTTATATTTCTATTTTAAATAATATATATTTATGTATTGTTATATTTATAAAATATTTACACATCAAATAACAAAATTTTTATTATTTTTTTTTTATTTTTAAATTTTAAAATTTTATTCTTTTACTTTAATTTATAATTTTTGAAATTATAATAAATTATATGATATATTAATATTATATTTATAATAATAGCAGAAAAAAATAAACTAAATAAAAAAAATTAAGTATTATTATAATTATATTATCTTTTTAAATGTATTGCAAACAAATTTGTCTATAACTTTATTTAATAATTAAAATTATTTAAATATTTTTAAAATAATTTATTTAAAAATTAATATTTTATAATAAATTTTATGATATTTTCTAAGTAAAAATTTAAAAAAAAAAAATGTAATTAATTAGTAATATTTTAAAGATAAATATATATTAAATTATCATAAAAAAAAACTTATATATCTTGTTATTTATTGATTTTTAAAATATAAAAAGTATAATTATTTAATAGGTCTTAATAAGATAAATTCAATAAACTAAATTTTATATTTTGTAATCATTAGACAATAAGTTATTTTAAAAAAATTAAAAAATTGAAAAATTGATCTATATTAATAATTACTAATATTAAAATTTAAAAATATTATTATTAGATATATCTTAATATAACAAATATAATTAATAAACTTTATTTCATTTTTTTATGATCATTAAATATTAAAATATTATAATTTTTTATAATATTTTATAATCAATTATATACCTACACTTTAAGAAATAGAAAAATTTTAAGAATTAGTATATAACAAATATAATATAAAATTATTAATTAAATTTCAATAATTTTTTATAATAAAAGTATATTTATTATATAAATTGATTGTAAAAACTACCAATTAAAAATAAATTATAATACATATAATAAATTTTAGATTTCTGAAAGTTATCAATTTATTTAATAATCCTAAAAACTTATTTGAAATAATAGAATTATTAATTTAAATTAATAAAAATAAAAATGATAATGATAGATTAGATTTTATCATATTAATTTAATAAATTAAATTTATAATAATAAAGTTTGATTTTATTAATAGAGCAATTAAATTAATATACTTTAATAATTCTAATAAGTTTTATTTATAAATATATCAATTTATAAATTTCTAATTTTTTCTAATATAAATACTTAAAATTATTTCCAAATTTTATATCAAAACTATATAAATTTTCATCTTATTTGTAAAAATTTCTAATCTATTTCTATTACTAATTAAAAATAAAATAAAACTAAAAAATTATAAAAAATTATAAATTTTATTAATAAATTATATAGCATATATAATTATTATAAATAAAAAAAATTAAAAATAAAAATATAAAATCTTAATTATAATAATTTTTAATTATTAAA